TGGGACCCTTCAGTCCGCAGGTCGACGCTCTATCCACTGAGCCAAACCGGTTTCTGCAAATCACCTAGTTTTGAAGCTTTCTCCATCGCCTGTGACGAGAGTACGGACATTGGAGGCGTAGCTCAGTTAGCTGTGTTTCTTCGTTCTTGCGATACAGATTTCAACATTTTTGAGGAATTATTGGAACCAGTACCGATGTATAACACTAGCACACGACAAGATCTATTTAATTGTGTTTTTAAACTTCTGCAAAAATACAATCTACCTCTCTCAAAATTAACTTCTGTAGCTACAGATGGAGCTCCTTCGATGACCGGAAACAACAATGGTTTCATGGCATTTCTGCAAAAAAAAAAAAACCAAAGTGAAATTTATGACGGATCCAAGATTCATCATATGCATTGCATTATACATCAAGAAGTATTATGCGCAAAAAAAAACCAAAAGAAAAAAACAAAACCAAAAGAAATAAATAAAAAATAATAAACTAAAAAAAGAAAAAAAAAGAAGTATTATGCGCGAAGGTAATAAACATGGGAAATGTGTTGACATCTATAAAAATTATCAATTTCATAAGATCTCAAAGTTTAAATCAGCCACAGTTCTCTGCTTTCTTAAGTGAATTAGACAGTGAATGTTCCGGCTTGTCCTACTATGCCGAGGTACGCTGGCTCTCCTGCTCCAAGGTTCTTAAACAATTCTGGGACTTGAAAGAAGAAATATGTCAGTTCTTAATAACTAAAAATCAAGACACAAGCATGATATATATTTGATTTCAGAGAGCAAGGGGAAGATGGAAACATCAATGATGACAGAGAATCACTGATTGACTGCTTCCTGCACATCCCCTACTGGGGATCGAGCCCGCAACCCAGGCATGTGCCTTGACCAGAATCGAACCCGGGACCGTTTAGTCCACAGGCCGCTGCTCTATCCACTGAGCCAAACCAGGTAGGGCAAGCCTGTTTTTTGACACAATATGGTTGCAACATTTATCCTTCATGGTTGATAAAACAAAACACTCATATGATTTAACTTAAAACTGCGAGGAAAAGATCAGATTATTACAAACATGTGTCACCAAGTCAAAGCATTCAAATGTAAGCTAGTTCTTTGGGAAAAGCAGTTGAAAAATGAAGATTTAATGCACTTTCTGACATGCAACATGAACAAATCCAGTTTAGGTGAAACTGCATTGTATCAAAAGTACGCAGAAAAAAATTTAAACCTTAGAACTGAATTTGAAACAAGATTTGCAGATTTTAAATTTTTGGAAGACAGGTTTCCTTTGTTCGATTTTTTCAATAAATATAGAATCAATACCTAATCAAATGCAATTGGAATTGATTGAGATCCAGTGTGTTGGTGTGCCTGAATTTTACAAATATTTACCTGCCAGGTTTGAAAATACTCGAAAATTCACATATGAAATTATTTCCATGTTTGGAAGTACGTATTGGTGTGAGCAGTTATTTACAATTATGAAAGGAAATAAGTGTCCTGTCAGATCCAGAATTACTGACATTCACCTTGGGTCAGTTTTGAAAGTAACCACTGCGAACAAAATTTCCCCCAAAGTAGAAAGATAGTAGCAGAGAGATGCCAAGTGTCAGGAAGAAAACATTAAAATTTCTCATTGCTCTTGTTCCTTTTTTATACTATTCTTTTCGAAATAAACCTACGTTTCTATGAAAATTGCAGCTTTTGTTTTTTTGCGGCCCACATAAACTTAGACCTTGTTTATTTGGCCCATGTTAGCCTTTGAGTTTGACATGCTTGGTGTAAAGCAATGACAATTATTTTGGTTTACCTCACAGTTTTCAGGGGTTAGGAATTTGGGGAGAGAATTTTGTCTGGCCGTCTGGCTCACATAACTGCAATCAGATGATGGCTGTGCTGGAACCATGGGAGACTAAAGCAGCTGAGGGAGAACCTCGGAGCTCTCTCTTCTTGTGATCTCAGGGTCTATCCATGTGGTCTCTCTTAGGGGTTAGTTTGGGCTTCCTCGTAGCACGGCAGCCTCCAGGCTATAATGGCCAGCTTCCAACATTGTCCTTAATGATTTCCACCTCCTGGTATCCATACCATTGTGCAGCCTATTCCCACACTACACAGGGCTGACTGTGCCCAAAAGGGCAATCCAGAAATGACAGTGTGTGACTTTAGAGGGTAAGTCCTAGAGACATTGTGGCCCCATCTTGCTTCCTTTTAGATCACTCATCCTGAGAGAAGCCAGCCATAGATAACAGGACTTTCCATTTCAATAGCTCAGAAAATAAAGCCCAATATTTCTATCACTTTAAAACCAATGTTTATTGAGCACCTGTTACGTGCCAGGGTTAGGGGCCTGGAATAAATCAGTAGAGCAGACAATTATTCATGCCCTGGTCTCACATTTTAGAAAAGGAGAAGAAGATGAGCAGTTATATTAAATACATAAAGTATATAGTATGTTGATGGTGCTAAATGCTACGGATAAAATAAAAAGTAGAGCACAGTTGGAGAGGATGGGGGTTATTGCAATTTTAATTAGGACAGTCAGGGTGTGCTTCATTCAGTTGACAGTTGGGCAAAAGGACACGAGGGAGTAAGCTATGTAGATATCTAGGGGATGTTCCAGGTACAGGAAACAGCTAGTGAGAGGCCTCGGGGTGGAATGTGCCTGGTATGTTTAGGGAACAACAAGGAGGCCAGTGTGGCTGGAGCCTGGGAGCGTGGAGATAAGAACCCAGAGGAAAGAGGAGGTGGGGGAGGAGGGGAGGGCTTTCTGAGCTTCAGTTCTCTCATCTGTAAAATGAGCAGAATAATAGTATATATCTCAGAGAGTTGGTATGAAGATGAAATTAGTACATATAAGGCTATCGGAAGAGTGCCTGACCACTGTACACTAAATGAGACAGTATTCTGGAAGAGGGATCATGGGATGCGTGTCCAATCTTAGCCGCTGGGGGGCAGCAGAGTGTGGGCCCAGTCAAAGCCGTGAAGTTCGCGCACGCCTCCCGCCTCCGTGGCAGCCGGAGCTGCCAGCTCCGTGACGGGTCCACACAGCGGCTACGCGAGCGCCGAGTTCTGGCACACGGCTCGCACCCGAGCCCTTGCTGCTCTGCGCACGCTCCTGGCCGGGGCACCCTCCCCTCTCCCTTCTTCCATGGGCTCAAGCAGTGACGGCCTCCTGACTTTACTCCAGGATATTGCCAGGAGGTTGGAAAAGAAAGGGTGTGTACGTGTGTGAGTGTGAGCGAGAGAGAGAGAGAGAGAGAGAGAGAGAGAGAGAGAGAGAGAGAGAGAGAGAGAGTGTGTGTGTGTGTGTGTGTGTGAATGAGTGTGCGTGTGAGAGGGAGTGTGAGTGAGTGTGTGTATAGTGGGGTGGGGAGCGAAGAGGAAATCCAGAGACTCAGGGTGACCCTGAGTTTCACTTAACCTTTTATTATTTTTTTATTTTTTAAATATATTTCCACGGATTTCAGAGAGGAAGGGAGAGGGAGAGAGAGAAAGAAACATCAGTGATGAGAGAGAATCATTGATTGGCTGCCTCCTGCATGCCCCCCACTGGGGCTCGAGCCCGCAACCCGGGCATATGCCCTGAACTGGTGACCTCTTGGCTCCTGGGTCGTCGCCCAACCGCCGAGCCACACCAGACTGGAAACTTAACCTTTTTTTAAAAAAAAAAATTAAAAACTTTTAAATATTTGTAAAATACATAACCACGGTAAAGAAAAATCTAGTCAGTACAAGCACACACACACATGCACACGCACATGCACACACACACACTGAAAAGTCTCCCATCACCTCTTGCTTGGAAAAAATAATTGTCTTTTCACTGGTTTCTGTGCCTTTGGTCTCACCAATCCCCATATTCCCATCACTACAGCCAGAAGGTTCTGTCTAAGGGGCAAACCTGACAAGTTAAATCTTTTCCGTGGCTTTCTCCCTTCGTGATCTGACTCTACTCACCATTCACTCCTCTCCTCCCAGTGTCCACGTGGCTGCAGCCATCTCCTCAGATTATCCAGGCTACCCTCTATGTTGCCATCATGCCCTTGCCAGTCGTTCCCGTGCCTGGCCCGAGTCCTACTCATGCTGCACCTGCACCAATGTCCGCGTCCCTCTCTGGTGCTCCCTCCACCTCCTGTGCAGCCCCCCTCACAGCTGACACGGAAACTGTTTCCAGGACAGGGAAGGGTTTTTTACTTGATTCAATACCCGATCTCCTCTCCTGGCACAGAAGAGTCACCCAATCAGTTACTTACAGGCTTGAATGAATGGTCACGTCTAACACTTATATAGTGCTAATCCCACGCCTGGCATTATTCCATGGACATCGCATATATAAATTCACGTAACCACACAACAACCCCAAGGTTGCTACATCCTCATTTTGCCAATATGGAAATTAAAGCATTGAGCAGTTTAAGTAACTTGCCTCAGACAGCAAGTGGCTGAGCTGGGGTTTGAACTGGGCAGCCTGGTTTCCAGTAAATTAACCAAGAGCTGGAAAGAGAAAGCCAGACCTCAGGGAAGGAATCCAGGGGTTTTGTCTCTGCGCTTTACATCTAAGGATCTTCTCGCCCTCTCCCGTTTCTCTCCCAGGGAGCCCATTTCATAGACTGAGACAGTGGTCGGCAAACTCATTAGTCAACAGAGCCAAATATCAACAGTACAACGATTGAAATTTCTTTTGAGAGCCAAATTTTTAAAATTTCAACTATATAGGTAGGTACATTGTTATTAACTTAATTAGGGTACTCCTACCTAAGGCTTAGGAAGAGCCACACTCAAGGGGCCAAAGAGCCGCATGTGGCTCCGAGCCGCAGTTTGCCGACCACGGACTAAGAGACAGAGGGCCGCACGGAGACCGCAGATAACGCCGGAAGCCCCGGGGAGGGAGTCGTGGAGTTTATTTGGGTGCTGGGGAGCAGGGGCATAGCCACAAGGAGCGGGCACCCGGGTTGAGAGTACTTCGCTCCAAACTACAATTCCCAGGAGGCACCGGGCGCCCACAGCCCACGCGACGTCACCGCGGCAGAGGGCTAGGGCAGCTCTGCTAGCCGGCCCGGCGGCAGTTGGGCCGTTCCGCTCGGACCCCGGCCCTGGCTCTGGCCCCGCGGTAAGTGGAGCCACAGGCGCAGACCCTTCCCGCAGGGCGCGCCCGCCACCTCCGCCATTGTGCGGGACCGCGGCCGTGCGCGGGACGCGGGGTTGGCATCTACCATATGGGGGGGATCCGGGCTGAACCAAGTGACTTGCGCAGGGGGAACCCAGACGGGGGCTCCGGGGTCGCCGCTCCGCTGCCACCGGCTCTCGGGCACACAATGCGCTGGGCCGCACGGACGCAGGCCCAGCCGGGGCAGGTTAGGGCGGGAGGGCGGGTCCGGAGGCGCGGGGTAGGGGTAGCTCCGTCCCCTGAAGGAGGGCGCCCAGGCGCCGGGGCGAGGCTTTTGAGCGGGACGAGCCCGAGGACCCCCTCCGCGCTAGACCACCAGATAGAGCCTCGGGTTGCAGACTAGGAGCTCCGGAAGGCAAGGTCCCGTGCTTGGGAGGTGGTTGAGGGGTAGGGGTAGGGTTAGGGCGAAGGAGATCGCCCAGGTCTGCGGACACCGGTGCCTACGCGAAGGGACGGTGCGGGTCGCCTGGATTCGGACCCTGACAACTCTCCTTTCCTCGTCCCAGTAGATGGGAGCTGCTCCCTGGGGTTGAGCTTGTCGCATCCTCCACCAGCCCTCGCCCCCGAAGTCAAGAGGAGCGCCCCTGCCCACCCACACCTTGCCCCTTTTGGGGGTCGCCTCCATCTAGCCGGTCCTTAGCACTAGTGGCCGCGCCGTCCGACAAAGGAGCAGGACGATGCTCCTGGCGTCGGTGCTGGGAAGTGGCCCCCGTGTGGGGCCGCCGCTCCGGCCCTTCCTCGGGCCTGCGCTCCTGCTCAGGGCCCTCTCCACATCAGCCACCGACACTCACCACGTGGAGATGGCGAGGGAGCGCTCCAAGACCGTCACCTCCTTCTACAACCAGTCCGCCATTGACGTGGCCGCCGAGAAGGTGCGCAGCTGGGGCAGCGAGGTCCGGGTCCCCAGGTGGAGTGGGTGTCCAGGGAAGGGGCGGGGCCGATGTGGGGGTGCAGTGTTGGGGGTCCAGTGCTCAAGCCCCATCTGCCCCTTCTCCAGCCCTCAGTCCGCCTCACTCCGACCATGATGCTCTATTCAGGCCGCTCTCAGGATGGCAGCCACCTTCTGGTAAGGTTCCTGCCCCTTATCTTTCTCTTGGTTCCCGGAGCTCTGGCCCAGCCACTCGGACCTCAGCCCCGCTTTCCCTCCTTTTTTTCTACTAGAAAAGTGCCCGGTACTTGCAGCAAGAGTTGCCAGTGAGGATCGCTCACCGCATCAAAGGCTTCCGCAGCCTTCCTTTCATCATTGGCTGCAACCCCACCATCCTGCACGTGGTAAGGTGGCCTCTAGGGAGCATGGGTTTCCCCAGTCGACGGGGGTCTGACATCAGTGTGCCCACCACCCAAGGGGCAAGTGGGGAGATGGGACCAGAGAGGCAGAGACTTGCCAGCCAAAAGGTTTCAGGGTCGCAGAGGACCCAGACCCCAGCCTTCAGAAGCCAAGGCTGCATGTTCATGGAGGCTTGACAGGCCATGATGGGGGTTTGAACCTCTTGAATTGGGGTGATGGCATAGGAAGTTGTTCTCGACCCAGTGCCCACAGCATCCTTGTGAATTCCGACACTTTTTCCTTGCAGCACGAGCTGTACATCCGTGCCTTCCAGAAGCTGACAGACTTCCCTCCGGTGAGGGCTGGGCCTGGGCAGGGTGAGGGGTTGAGAGGTCAGGGCTGGACCATCCGTCCTCATGCCTCTGTGGCCTGCAGATCAAGGACCAGACAGAGGAAGCCCAATACTGCCAGCTGGTGCGTCAGCTGCTGGACGACCACAAAGATGTGGTGACCCTCTTAGCTGAGGGCCTACGTGAGAGCCGGAAGCACATAGAGGTCAGGGGCAGCACAGTGGTGGCCTGTTGGGGGGCCTGGGGAGGGCACAGCATTATTGAGGCCCCACTGTTTACAGGATGAGAAGCTTGTTCGCTACTTCTTGGACAAGACACTGACTTCCAGGCTTGGGATCCGCATGTTGGCCACACATCACCTGGCGCTGCATGAGGACAAGGTGGGGCGCTGGGACCTGAGACCCACCTGGGAATGTCAAGCGAGGCAGAGGGGACTAAGCCAGGGGCCCCCTTGGACTGGGGACCTGGGCCGAGGGCCTGGGGAGGGGCTTGGGGCTACTTCAGCAGTCCAGAGGTTGCAAGCATTTGGTGGTCAAGGTGCAGGTCAGCTGCTAGTCCTGACCTTCTTTCTCCTGACAGCCTGACTTTGTCGGCATCATTTGCACTCGCCTCTCGCCAAAGAAGATTATTGAAAAGTGGGTGGACTTTGCCAGGTGAGGCTAGAGCAGCTAAAGTGGGGGTTGGGGGGTCTTTGGGCAGGGAAGGCTTGGGTCTGAGCCCTGGCCTGGGGCATGGTCTGCAGCAGGATTTCTCAACTGTGGCACTATCAGCATTTTGGGTCAGATAATTCTGTTTTGTGAGGGGCTGTCCTGTGCTTGTTAGGATGTTTAGAAGGATCCTTGGCCTCTGCTCACTTGATGTCAGCAGTACTTCCCAGTTGTAACAAACAAAAATGTCTTTAGAAATTGCAAAATTTCCCTGGGGGGCATGGAAGAAGAAGCATCTCCAGTTGAGAACCACTGGTCTAGGTCTGAACTCTTGCTCCTACACACAGACGCCTGTGTGAGCACAAGTACGGCAATGCCCCCCGCGTCCGCATCAACGGACATGTGGCTGCTCGATTCCCCTTCATCCCTATGCCCCTGGACTACATCCTGCCGGAGCTGCTCAAGAATGCCATGAGGTGGGCTGGCTGGTATGTTGAAAGACGACAGATAGGGACTGGGGTGAGGCTGGGATACCAACACCCACCACTGGTCTTTCCCCCGTATAGAGCCACGATGGAGAGCCACCTAGACACTCCCTACAACGTCCCAGATGTGGTTATCACGATCGCCAACAACGATATTGATCTCGTCATCAGGTTTGCCCTGAGTGGGTGGACAGGGGTTGTTCCGACACTGTTTTTGACTTGCTGTATGAGCTCAAACCAGTACCTGCCCCACTCTGAGACTTGGTCCTGAGATTGCCATGAGCTGGATAAGAATGAGTGCGGGGCCAGGTGCAGGCCCTAGGGCAAGCACGTCAAACTCAAAGGCTAACCGGGCCTTGAAGTAAACAAGGCATGCGGGCGAGTTTGACATTAGCAACTAGGGCCCTAGGGCAGTGATGGCGAACCTTTTGAGCTCTGCGTGTCAGCATTTTGAAAAACCCTAACTTAACTCTGGTGCCGTGTCACATATAGAAATTTTTTAATATTTGCAACCATAGTAAAACAAAGACTTATATTTTGGTATTTATTTTATATATCTAAATGCCATTTAACAAAGAAAAATCAACCACAAAAATGAGTTCGCGTGTCACCTCTGACACGTGTGTCATAGGTTCGCCATCACTGCTCTAGGGCCTTGTCTTCCTTAGCAGCTGAGGGGCCGAGAATGGGGAAAGAGTCGGAGTAAACAGTCGGTGACACTGGGCTGAGAAAGCCAAATCCTGTGAGAAGGTATAAGCAGTCAGTGGCCCAGGCAGAGGCGAGGATAGAGAAATGAAGCTTATAAAAAACAAGGCCCAAGGCTCTAGGTGGACATTCCACCTTTGGCTAAAAGGGACAAGACGGCACTGTCTGCATGGGAGGTAGTGAGCCCCCCGCCAAGCTGAGACAAGCTCCTATTATCCACATCCTGCCAGGATTTCAGACCGGGGCGGGGGAATCGCTCACAAGGACCTGGATCGGGTTATGGACTACCACTTCACGACAGCTGAGTCCAGCACCCAGGACCCCCGGATCAACCCACTCTTCGGTCACCTGGACATGCACAGTGGTGTCCAGTCAGGACCCATGCACGGGTGAGCCCCCACTTGGCCACGATGGAGGGGTGCGGGGGCCTGGAGACTCAAGCCTCTGAAGCTCCTGTCCTGTCCCCTCCCTTCTCCCCCAGCTTTGGCTTCGGGCTGCCCACATCCCGGGCTTACGCGGAGTACCTTGGTGGTTCCCTTCGGCTGCAGTCTCTGCAGGGCATTGGCACGGATGTCTATCTGCGGCTCCGTCACATTGATGGTCGGGAGGAAAGCTTCCGCATCTGACCCTACAGCCCTTGGCCTGCCCGCCTGCCCAGCCTGGGCCACACACCCTGCCAGGACCTTCTGGGCCAGACAGGGTCCACTGTGCTCCACCCCCTGCTGCATCTTGGGTCTTACGATGCCAAGCAGATGGACTTCTATGGAGCCGGACATCACCCCTCCTCAACAGGGTCCACTGTTTCCCTGCCTCCAGCCCTTGGAGGGGAGGAAGTGGGGACCCCAGCACTGGCTTCATCTTTCTTGTTCCTGGGGAACCCCATTCTGACCTGCTGTTATTAAAGTTCACATTCTGAATGCCCTCTTGGGCCCCATGTGGGGAGGGCAGGTGAGCTTGTTTCTGATCCCATTCAGGTTCCCTGGGCCCTTGGGTTCAACCTAGTTCATGTCCAGGCGCTTAACTGTCCAGACAGAATTTGCCCCAAGTCTCTTGCACTTTGACTTGGTGGGAGTGAGGGTGACTGATAGTTTGTACAAAGACCTTTCATTCATTTCATTTAACAAATGTTTCTGCTTCTCAGACAATATCGAAGGCCCAGGCTGGCCCAGCTTCAGGCTTCATTTCTGACTCTTGCCTTCCTGGCAGTCACAGGTTCTGGAGATGAAGGTCACCAGACTGGGCAACCTCCTGAGCCACCTGATTCCTGAGCCCAAGTAAGGTTAAAAATACCGTCCACCACCTGTGCCTGTTGCTGCCAAGGACAGGAACACACAAGATTGTGTCCTGGCAGGCTCCAGAGGACCATGGGGCCCTGGTAGGGAGATTGAAAGGAAAGGGTCCCATAGAGCATCTTGCCAGGGAAGGAGAAAGGCTTGGTGGGACTGCTGATGGAGGCGGGGAATGGAGGGGGCACAGGAAACCAGTGACTTGCCAGGCTGAAAGTCTGCTGGCTGCAGTGCAGGGGGTGAGGCTGGAGAGGCAGGCGGCAGCAGCAGCTGCAGGACTCTGACTGTACAGCAGGGGTGGGGATGTCTGGCAGGGGCCGTACAAAGCCCACAAAATCATTTGGTCTGGCCCTGCCAAGGCATTGGGGGTGAGTTAATTAAATGTTTGAGCAAATATAGCAGGCTAATTTAAAATATATATATTTTTATTGATTTCAGAAAGGAAAGGCGAGGGAGAGAGAGATAGAAACATTAATGAGAGAATCATCAATCGGCTGCCTCTTGCAGGCCCTACACTGGGAATCAAGCCGGAACCTGGCATGTGCCCTGACTGGGAATCAAACTGTGACCTCCTGGTTCAGAGGTGGACACTTAACCACTGAGCCACGCTGGCCGGGTGCAGGCTAATTTTTAAGTTGATAATTTTGTATGGCCCACTAATGATGTTAAGTGTATCCAAATGGCCCTTGGCAGAAAAAAGGTTCCCCACCCCTCCTGTCCAGCTAAGGAGGGGTCCATGGGTGTGTTTTAAGCTAGGAAAGTATGTACCATCAGGTTGGATTCCCTAGAAGCAGAACCTGAGAAGATTTGCACCAAGTGATTTGTTGAGAAAACACTCCCAGAAGGGAGTCAGGAAGCATGAAAGGCAAGAGCAGGAGGCTAGGAAAGGATGTGATCTCAGGTAAAAGTCCAGAGCCAGTAAGTTGTGCCAGAGTTGGAGGCAAGAGAGCTAAGCCCCACAGACACTGGTTAATGTCGGCCGGGAGGTACCTGAAATAGTCCTCAGCTAGTTCAGGCAAAGCTCTTCTCTTAGCCAGAGGGGCAGTCTGTCAAATAAGAACCTCTGGTGCTGTAGTTTGAAAACACACAGAATGTAATTGGCACACATAAGCAACAAAGAGGCTCCAGGGGATCTGGGTGAAACTTCTAGATAGGTTTTGGAGAAAAGTCAGATTTGCACATTAGAAGAACCACTGGTGGTTGGTGGATAGGAGGGAGAACAGTGAGGAGGTTGGTGGAGTGACCCTGATCAGGGATTTACAAAGCTTATGGTAATCATTAACTAGAAGGGATAGCATCCCTAACTGAAGATGTCAGGTGAAGTCAAAAGTGAGGCACCAGAACCCTGGGTAGACAGAATAACTATGTTGAAGATGGGGAGTGAGAGAAGATGTCACAATTTTAATTTTTTATTTCCTTTCTCCTGTTTCTTTTTTTAAATGCTGCCAGACACCTGGCATTCATTGCCCTCCCCCAAACTCCATTTCCCTAAAGCCCAGTTACCAGCATTTACACTGCCAACCCCCACAAACACCTAACTCAGATATTTCTTGATCTGTAACCTGAGTCCCATTCTCTGGCCCTGAGCATGTCACCACTCTTAGAATTGTTTCCAAGTCCAACAGCCAAATTATAAGTCGAAGATTCAGAGAGTGGCCAAGAGGAATGTTTATTGAGCACCTCCCCTGCCTGGCATTGTGCAGTGCACTTACTTTATATATATGAGAGGTAGATGAATACATGGTTTAACCTCTATTTAGTTATATGGTTTGTATAGTTATATATAGTTTAATCCTAACACTCTGAGAATGAACACTTGCACAACTTACCCGGAGGAGGGTCAGAACCCAGGATTCCTCTCGCTAAGCCCACCTCTCCATTATGCCCACTGCCTCTGCTGGTTGCTGTTCCGGGAACGTCTGGTTTGGGGGGCCTGGCCCATTTGGAAAGGCTGGATTCTGAGGGGTTTATCGGCGGTCCCGGGACACACTCCTCCAGCTCCCCACCCCTGTATCCTGCATCCATCCTGAACAAGCAAGGCCGTTTCTTCCATCTGCAAAAAGGGGTGAGCGGTCTAAGGCAGGCGGAAGCGGCGGCGCAGGAGTGGGTGTCAGGCCTCCAGCCCCAACTCGGGCCGCGGGGACAGCGAGAACAGCGCCCCCTCGAGCCGGCGCGGCGCGGCTTCCTCGGCGCAGGGCCTTTAAGAAGCTCGGCTGACTCATCACCAGGGAGGCCTCCGCGGGCCAGGCGCAGCCACCCCAGCGGCGGGAAGGCAGGAACTCCCGGGTGAGCGGCAGCGCGTCCCGGCCCGACACGCCAGCGGACCAATGAGCTGCCGCCACGTCACAGACTCCACCCCCGCCGCGCGCCGCCCCGGAGCCGCGGCGCGGGCATCTGGCGTCATTTCCACCACAGCGATGGCGGCCCCGGGGGCGGCTGCAGCGGTTGCGGCCGCGACTTCAGGGGTCGCGGGGGAGGGCGAGCCCGGGCCCGGGGAGAATGCGGCGGTTGAGGGGGCCGCCCCATCCCCGGGCCGCCTCTCTCCGCCGACCCCGGCGCGCGGCGAGCCGGAAGTCACCGTGGAGATCGGAGAGACTTACCTGTGCCGGCGGCCGGACAGCACCTGGCGTGAGGGCGGAGTCCAGGGCCCGGGGCGGTGTGGGCGGGCCGGGGCCGGGGCCGGGGCCGGGGTGGTTCTCGGAAGGGCTGGGCGTGGTCGGGGCGGGGCCTGGGGAAAGAACGCGGAGTTTCGGGCCCTTCCCCGAACCCCACCGGTGAGGCCGCCACCAAGTTTTTGTGTCTGGGAAGCGCCTACCCCCTTCCTCGCCTGACCTTAGGCTCCATCCCCGTCTCTTAACCTCGCTTCCTCACGGTCTCCCGTCCGCGACTTCCCCGTCCACCTGTCCCCTAGAGCCACCAGCGGAGAGGACCACCGACCTCCTCCCTCCCCAGCTCTCCCCCTCCCCTCCCCGTCCTTCATCATTCCGTTGAACGACCTGCATCTTTGCGCCCTCTGGTTTCTAGCCACCCCTGGCAGAGGTCATTGCCAGACCAGTCCACACTGTACCCTTTGAAGACCTTTAGCCTCCTGTTCCCTCTGCTTGGAATGCCCTTCCCTTTCTCCTTGCGCACCTGCCCAGCTCCTACTCATCCTTTTAACACCATATCCCCCTATGATGCTATTCCTGGCTCCCTCCAGGCAGAGTGAGTCATTCCCTTCTGTGTGTGCCTGCCCCGTTCGTACCTCAGCCACCGCATGTGTCACATTGTTGTCATTTTCTGTGGGTACCGTCCCCATCACAGTGGGAACTTCTGGAGGGCAGGCTGCTTGTGATTCATTGCCATGTCCTCAGTATCTAGCAACAACAAAGCAGAGGGCCAGACACGCAGTGGTTGCCTTCCTCATTTCCTGAATGGTCTGCTAGTTGTCAGTCACTATACTTAAAGCTTTAGAGCCATTAACTCACCCTCTGAGGTGAGCACTATTATCTCTGTTTTACAGGTTAAGAAACTGAGGCTCAGAAAGTCAAAATAACTTGCTCAGTTAATACAGCAGAGAAATGGGGAGCTGGGATTATATGTAAACCCAGTCTGTCTGACTCCAGAGCCAGCCTCATGACCTCTGAATAACAGCTGAATATAGTAAACCAAGCATTGCATTTGGAGTCAGGCGTAAGCCCAGTTAAGTATTAGCTCTTACCACTTTTCAAATCTGAGCCTGGGTAAGCCTCAGTTTTCTCAAGTGCAAAATAAGAATAACAGTCCTGACCTGGTCTCCCTCACAGGCAGCGATTGCATCGAATGGCAGATGCGGACAGGAGAGGTTAGCTTCCATGTGAAGCTGGAAACAGCTTCTCGGTGTCCGGGCTCTGCCTTCCTGATGACACTAGCTTTTCTCCTTCCCAGATTCTGCTGAAGTGATCCAGTCTCGAGTGAATGACCAGGAGGGCCGAGAGGAATTCTATGTGCACTATGTGGGCTGTGAGTGACCTGGGGTATCTGGGCCTGGGAGGGGGGAGGGGGTGGGAGGACAGCACCCTCATGGCGCATCCTCACAGTTAACCGGCGGCTAGACGAATGGGTAGACAAGAACCGGCTGGCACTGACCAAGACCGTGAAGGATGCCGTGCAGAAGAACTCGGAGAAGTACCTGAGCGAGCTGGCCGAGCAGCCTGAACGCAAGATCACTCGAAACCAAAAGCGCAAGCATGATGAGATCAACCATGTACAGAAGGTCCGGGCTCTCCCCTCCCCCAGGGCCCCAGAGGCTCCGCTGCCTCTGCCAACTCCTTTGGGTGCCAGTTCCAAAACCGCAACAGCTCCCATTGCTTAAGTGTCAGAGACTTCCCTATCTTCTCATGTGCTCTTCCCAGATGAGAAAACAGGTTCAGATAGGGCAGGGGCGTGGCTACAGTCTCACAGCTAGCAAATGGCACAGCTGGGACTGGAATTCAGGCCTCCTGCACAGATAGTGTCTTTTATCGTTTATTGTTCCACATTAGACAAACCAACTTGAAGTCCAAAGGGAAGGAAAAGAATGAATGATATTGGGCACTTGCTATTGGCCAGAACTCTGCCGAGTACTCTATGTGTATAAACTCATCAACTATTCCTTAACAGTTAATACTACAGGGGTGTGTGTGTGTATACACACTAGAGGCCCGGTGCACGAAATTCGTACACAGGTAGGGTCCCTAGGCCTGGCCAGCGATCAGGGCCCGTCAGGGCCTTCCTCCCTGGCTGGCTGGGGCCTTCCTTCACTCTGCACTGCCCCCTGGTGGTCACTGCCCCCTGGTGGTCAGCGCACGTCATAGTGAGCGATCAGTCTCCGGGTCAAACTCCGGAGGGGATACTTTGTGTATTCGCCTTTTATACACACACAGGATGGGGCAAAGATAGGTTTACAGTTGTTTGTATGGAAAATAATACAATAATAAAAGAATAAACTGTTTCATGTACTTACCACTGTAAACCTACTTTTGCCCCACCCTGTATATATTTTTTGTAGATGAAGAAATAAGCTCAGAGAGGTTAGCTAACATACCTAAGGTCACACAGCCAGTAAAAGGGTGGGCTGGAGTTAGAATAGTAATGACAGACATTTATTGGCTTGTGACCCAAAGTTTTAGGCTAAGTGTTTGAATACATGATCTCACTGAAGTTTCACAACAACCCTGTGAATTAAGCATTATTATCCCCATTTATATGGGAGGTACAGATAGGTTTAGGAACCCAGTCAGGAATTAGATTTGCCACTGTCCAACTTCAGGGCACAAATCCTTAACCATGACTTTGACACATCCTAGAAATAGGCCACTTGTTTCCAAAACCTGGGTGCTTTTCATCAAGCCAGCCTGCCCCTGGGAGGTTACCTTTCTCCCACTCCAAGCCTCAGTTTCTTGATTTGGAACGTGGGGAATGCAAGAGAACTGGATTTATTGAGCTCTCAGGACACACAGACATTAGTTTTGGTTAATGCGATTTCTTCTAAGTGCTCGTGTGCTTTGCAGCAGTGTTTTGCTAACTGTGGGGCACAACTGTTAGTAGATTACCAAATTAGTTCAGTGGGTTGTGACCAGCATTTACATTTTTTTTAAATGGAAGAAAGAAATAGGATAAGAGAAAATATCAGAGTGCATTGCACTTTATTAAAGGTAAATATTATTTTGAGACGCTTTTATTTCACATACAAATACATGTATGTGTATGCATAAATATCAACTTATTTACAGCGCTAACTGCACTTCCTACTGTGGTTTGTGATAAAAATTAAATAAAAATTGAAATATCCTGAACTAAAATGACCCCTCAAGGACTAAGGCAGCACTGTCCAATTGAACTTCCTGTGATAAATGGAAAAGTTTTGTATCTGTACTGTCCAATAGAGTAACCACATGTGGCTGTTGGGAACTTGAAATGTGTTTAGTGTACTAAGAATTAAATTTCATTTAATGAATTTCAATTGAAGTAGCCACTTGTGGCTAGTGGCTGCACTATTGGACAGCACAGGCCTGAGGTTCTCAGTTCCTCAACCAATTTGCACTGGCCAGTTAAGTCTCTAAGATGCACCTCTACACTGCACTCAGCCAGGCGACGGCAGTGGGCCAGGTGATAAAAATCATCGAGGTCACAGGCAGCAAGATTCTTCAGAACCTAGTTAATGTTTAATTCTAAATAGCAGCACTTAAGAAAAGCAGTGTTTTTGTAGTTCTTTAATGATTTGCAGAAGAGGATTGTGCTTTGTGAGAGCTGAGACGTTTGAGGAAGAAAATGAGGAAATCTTTCTTCTCCCATCTTTGCAGGGATTAGACTCGGGAGTTGGACCAGGGCCTATGCCCAATTGTGCTGAGTACCTTTTCTGTGACGGCAAGTGACCTCACCTCTTTGTGCCTCAGTTTCCTCTTTTGTGCAGTGCGGATAATGAGCAACCGTGTCTCAGGCTTATTGTGGGGACTGAAGGAAATCATGCCTGTGGAGTGCGTGGCACTTGGAATAATGGCAGCTAGGTCATCCCCAGGGCGAGTGACCTCACCTCTCCCTGCCTGTTTACTTCTCTCTGAAACAGGAGTGAGTGCTGTCGATGAGAGGCCAGACAGCCCGGGTGCTTTGTGGAAGGGCCTTCTGAGGAAAACATTGGCTCCTTTTCTCCCTTCTCACCTGCAGGGCCAGGCTGCTGTCTACTCTGGTATAGGTCATAGGCCGTGGGTCCCCACTCCGTTTTCAGGCTGTACTTGGTTCCTCCTACAGAGTCTGGCCTAGGAACAGGATGTGCTGTGAGTGTGACATGACTCTCAGTCCCTGCTTTCCAAGAACTTGGAAAATAGGGGAGCCAAGTGGGGCAGTTAGAGGTTATTGTTGTAGATCTCTGTGTTCCTGACTTGGAAAGGACAGGGTATATTCTGCATCGGGAGCATCCAGTCCGGCCACCTGGAGGGGATGGGAAGGATGCTGGGCCTCGAGGGACAGGAAAGAGCCCAGTCAACGTAATTACACGTGATAGCTCACAGAGTTCTGCCTTATCATGTGTCACCTGGCTCACCCTCTTGCTAGGTTGAGTAAGCATTTTCTGGCAGCAATAGGATAAAGAAGGGCATTCGAGGTGGAAGGAACTTTATGTGCAAAGGCACAAAGGCTGGAAAAAGAAGGGTTGATAGCAGTGCAGATTTGAAGAGGCTGAGGCTGGAGGCTGGGAACCTAAGGAGCCCTAGTCAGTTGTCCAGATCTGAGATGGTGGCAGTGGCTACATGGCATAGGACAGAGAGGAGAATGCCGGAGAGGGACCAATTCCAGAGATTTCAAGGAGATAGAGTTGGCAGGACTTGGCTGTTAATTGAATGCCAGGCTGAGACAGGGAGGAGTCTTAAGCTAGGCCTCTTGTTGGTCTCAGACATTTGGACTGAGGTTGATGCTCCCAGTGAGATGGGAGATTCAGGAGGGGAACAGGTTTCCATGGAGGAAAGAATGAGTTCCCTTCTGGACACTTGGGGTCTGATACGCCTGAGGGAGGGACCTCTGCGAGCAGTCCCATGGGCAGGCAGCTCCTCAGGTGTTCAGGAAAGAGGTCCGGGCACACTGGGGAGTCAGCAACGATTCCTGCTGTGAGCATGGAAGACAAGATCATTATTTCATCTCTCACAACTCTGGCTGAGCTGGACTGATCCCACTGCAAAGCTGAAGCTCTTACCAGCCCAGGACTACCCAGAGCTCCTGGTCCTCGCCCTGTTCATCTGGCCAAAGGTCTCAACTCAGGGACATCTGTGATATATGGGTGGGTGTGCAGTGGGAGAGGAGTGTGGACAAGCCAGCTTCAGAACCAGGTAGAACGTGTTAGCTATTCATATGGTTATTGTCGTTCAGGATGTGAGATCTGAAGACAGGAGGGAAGCACTGGGTTCTGGGATAGGGGAGGGACAGCCTGAGATTCCCTTCTATTCATCTCTGTTCACTGCTCTTTCCTTGCCCAGACCTATGCAGAGATGGACCCTACAACAGCAGCTTTGGAGAAAGAGCACGAGGCGGTAAGCAGGGGCAGGGGTCCTGACTGCGGGCTCCCCCTCTCCCCTGCTCTCCTTGCTCTAACCGAGCCATCCACTGCCCTCCACAGATCACCAAGGTGAAGTATGTGGACAAGATCCACATCGGGAACTACGAAATCGATGCCTGGTACTTCTCACCGTTCCCCGAAGACTATGGGAAGCAGCCCAAGCTCTGGCTCTGCGAGTACTGCCTCAAGTACATGAAGTATGAGAAGAGCTACCGCTTCCACCTGGTGAGGCGCTGACACCGAGGCACTGGGAGAGCCACAAGTTCAGAGCGGAGGACAGGGAAAAGCTGCCCGTGGGTGGAGAGACCCGATTCCCGCCTGGCTGTGTCTTTGCTGGAGTGACTTAGGCCAGCTTGCCCCTCCCCAGACCTCAGTTTCCTCTTCTGTGGGGTGGGGACGGTAATCCCTGCCCGTACACCTTCCTTGGATCCCTTGCCCTTCTGCACACGTGTATCAAAGCCAGCTCAGTGCCAGGTTCCTCAGTGCAAAAGCAGAAGTAAGCACAGCCCCCGAGCGATGGGACTGGAAGGTGTGACAGATGGGAGGTGTTGGTACATGCAGGCTGCCGGGGGGGTCATCTCATCATTCATGCAGCGGCATGTTTCCCAAAGAGTGGAATCTGAGGCAAATGTATGCGGTTTAGGAAACACCATTGCCAGGGATCAGGGCCCTCCAGAGTCCTCTAGAGCCAGGCCGACCTGGACTCAAGCCATCCAGCTGTGTGTTGCTCAAGCCAGTTCATAGCCCCTGTGTGCCTTAGGCTCGGTCTCCTCAGGTGGGTGGAGAATTACTTGATGTGGGTGAAGTGTTGAGCTCAGGATCTACATATAGGGAAACCGAGAAGCAGAGATCGGCTGCAAGCCACATGGGGCAGAATGAAGGGCACCTGGCAGGAAACCTCGGGGTCTCGAGCCTCCCTCTTCCCATCAACCCCAGGGCCAGTGTCAGTGGCGGCAGCCCCCCGGAAAGGAGATCTACCGCAAGAGCAACATCTCTGTGTACGAGGTGGATGGCAAAGACCACAAGGTGAGCTGGGTGGTCACGGTGCTGGGTGTGGGAGGTGGGAGCACTGGCACCGCTGGACGGCCTCCACTGTCATCAGGACAGAGGCCAGCCTTAGGATGAGCAGCTCCACCAGGAAGAGGCCTGAGGCGTCACATGCGGCCTGGCACTTGGCCTGTGGCCGGTGCTTGGTCAACATGTGGGCCTGCCGTGCCAGCCTTGGGGACTGGTGCTCCTCTCCCCAAGGACTTTTCTGCTGATGGGGTAGTTGAGGTTTGAAGTGAAGATTGTCGTGCCTGAGGCTGTCTCTAGAAGGCTTTCTCTTTCTGCCTGAAGAAAAGGTGTTTGGTTTTCCCCAGGAGGGACCTGCTTTGTGTAAGGGTTCCTGCCCAGAGCTCTGTGGCTCTGCTGGCCCAGTTCCTTGTTCCTGGTGAACGGACTTGAATGGGGCAGGGTGGGGCATTGGGCTCTGCTTTCCTGTTGAGAACCTGGCCTTTGCCTGGTCAGTCTGGGAAGGTTGCACCAAATGTCCCATTTCCCGTGGAAGGGCAGTTAATGAGTGGCTCCTGGCTTCAGATGACCCCGTCACTTCCTATCTGACCTTAGACAAATTACTTAACATTGTTTGTTCTGTTTCCTCATCTGTACGACGGGAGTCATGACCATATTTACCTAATAGGGCTATTGGTGGAATAACTGAGATAGCAATGTCACATACTTAGCACGGTACTTGGCACCAAGTAGGTGCTTAGTAATGGGCCTTCGTTATTACTGGTGACCTGTGGTGGCTCAGTCAGCCTTGTGATAATTGCTTGGGGAAGGAATATCCACACTGAGCCTTGCCCGCTGCTCTGCCTTGAGCAGCAACAGGGGGAGTGGCAGAAAGGGCTCTGTAGGAGACATGGGTATTCCTGTTGGCTCTACCCTCTGCCAGCTTGGAGGTCTCAGACAAGCACTTCCCCTCCCAGAGCCTCAGTTTTCTTTTAAGTAAATGGGACTAGCCATGCTGGGCTTACACAGTTGTTGGGTCAAATGGGAGTGGATATAAAAGGTGTCATACACCAGAGGGACCCTTGATCTGTGCCATGAAGCCAACCTGAAGGTCCCATTGTTCCTCCTGACGTTGGTCTCTAGCGGGGTGGGTGTCTGGGCCTGCAGCAGGTGAGGCTGAGAAGAGCATGGCCAAGCGGGCAGACTGCAGGCTGCGGAGTCAGGCTCGAGGCCCTCCACTCAGCAAATGTTTAACAAGCACTTGGCTTCATGCTTAGCCTTGTGCTCGGTGCTGGGGACATAGCCTTGAATAACACGGGCTTGAACTGCGTATGCCCACTTACCTGTGGAAATCCTGTGCTACTGTTCTGGTGAGTGGGCACTTCCCACCGGCCTGGCACGGGCTGTTCTGTGGAGCCTGGCATTTGCAGAGCAGGGTGGCAGCTCCTGTCCAGGCCTCAATGGGCTCATTGTACTTGCTTCCTGAGTCTTCTGCCTCTCCTACCCCTCAGATTTACTGTCAGAACCTGTGTCTTCTGGCCAAGCTTTTCCTGGACCACAAAACATTGTACTTCGACGTGGAGCCCTTCGTCTTTTATATCTTGACTGAGGTGGACAGGCAGGGGGCCCACATTGTCGGCTACTTCTCAAAGGTACTGGGTCGGGAAGCCGAGGTTGAGGGCGGGCAGTGAGTATGAACTGGAGCAGGGGCCGAGCTCCCCCAGAGTCCTGACCTCGCCCCTGCAGGAGAAGGAGTCTCCAGATGGAAACAATGTGGCCTGCATCCTGACCCTGCCTCCCTACCAGCGCCGCGGCTACGGAAAGTTCCTCATTGCTTTCAGTGAGTGGCTCCCGCTCTGTCCAGCAAGGGGCCCCTGTGGTGGAGGCAGAGTACTAGGGTGGGGTGGGTTTTCAGGACCTTCTGTCTCCCCCTGCCAGGTTATGAGCTATCCAAGCTAGAGAGCACAGTAGGCTCCCCTGAGAAGCCACTGTCCGACCTGGGCAAGCTCAGCTACCGCAGCTACTGGTCTTGGGTCCTGCTGGAGATTCTGCGAGACTTCCGTGGCACACTGTCCATCAAGGACCTGAGGTGAGGGCCCTGGACCCCAGCCCTGTCATCTCATGAGGGAGGCTTCCTGGAGTTCTCCAAGAGAGAAGGGTTCTCCTAAGATTGGCCATGATCCTGTCTCCTTGTCCCCTTTTGCTGTCCCAGCCAGACCCCACAAGGGACCTCTCCCAGCATCTGCTCCACTCCCTTTCTGCAGCCAGATGACCAGCATCACTCAGAATGACATCATCAGCACCTTACAGTCCCTCAACATGGTCAAGTACTGGAAAGGCCAGCATGTCATCTGTGTCACACCCAAGCTAGTAGAGGAGCACCTCAAAAGTGCTCAGTATAAGAAACCACCCATAACAGGTAGGTGGGGGGCTCCTGCGTGTGTGTGGTAGGGGGTAGGTGTAAGGACAACTGGGAGCCATAGCTCCTTTTGCTGTCGCATGATCCTAAACCAGTCTGACCAGCTTCCAGGACCAAAGCCTGGGGCAGGCTACTCATGCCTGGGCTTCCCTGCCCCCTCCCCAGGATCAAGTCTGCCCTTGTTCTCACCTGGCGAAACCTGGCCTAGGCCCAGAGGCCCAACCCTGCCTCTCCTGTCTCTTCTCCCCACAGTGGACTCTCTTTGCCTCAAGTGGGCGCCCCCCAAGCACAAGCAAGTCAAACTTTCCAAGAAGTGAGTGGCGGTGCCCCTGCTGCTGGACCTGTGCCTCCTTCCCCCACCTGTAAATATGTACAGCCTGTTTCATCATTTTTTAAATAAAGTAAGTTCTGCCGGTGGCTCTGGACTTTGGAGGCGGGAAGAAAAGGCCAACAGCTGATGTTCTTCATGGCATGTCACACACACAGCCAGTTATGCTCAAAACATTTTATTCCTTCTTGCTCCTTCTACCCTCTACCCCAGATCCAAGCTCAAGCCCAGTTCCGGTGGGGGCTCAGTCCTCCGGAGTCCAGAAATCAGGGTGCAGTGGGGGCTTGGCAGCCAATGGGGCAAGATTGGGGCCTTTTGTGTCCTTGGAAACATGCTGCTCAGAGGCAACTCCAACCCAGAAGACAACAGGAGGGCAAAGTGATGGGGCTCATCAGGCAGAGCATGTCGGGCAGGGGAGCCAGCCCTTCAGCAGCAGTCAGCTGGGCAGCTGCCCAGTCTTCCAGAAACATAAGAGCCAGGGCCCATTTTCTTAGCTAAGGCTCCTTGGGAGCTCCATAGGAGCCCAACCAATAGGCTTGTGGACAGCAGGAGGCCAGAGGTTCTAGCCAGTAGCACAGGCAGTAAAACTGGCTCTGGGTTAAAGTCCCAAAGAACAAACCCAGAAGTGTGGACTCAAAGGTCATGATGGTGCCCTGAGCTCCTACAGGGTCCTGGGAGGAAGGAGTGACTAGAGCCTCAGGCCCAAACAGTGTCAGGGAGGGGCCAGGTCCATTCCTGGGAACAGGCGTCTGTCCTTGTGTACAATAGGGCAGTTCTGGAAACAGGGTCAACCCCCAGGGTGAGTAGCTCAGTGCTCCCACCATGGCTAGAGGAGGCCCAGGATCAGGGCTAGTGATAGCAAAAGGGTGAGCCCCAGCAAACCCTGGCCTGGAGCAGAGCTGAAGGCCACGTGGTTTCTGCAGAGGTTGATGTCTGGCTGGGACTCCTGGAGCGGGGGGACCACCTGAGGCCGGAGCTCCGCTACATGGTGGTGAATCCAGGAGGCATAGCTGGAGGTCAGAGTGTACACGCCAGGCCTGTTGGGGGCCCCACAGGCATCACCCCAGCTCACAATGCCTGCCAGGTACCAGAGGCCCCCAGCAGGGCAGGAGAGTGGGCCCCCAGAATCACCCTGAGGAGAAAAGCCATACAACAGCTGTCAGGACCAGGCCCCAGGCCTCGAGTACCCATGCCAGCCCTCATTTCCCCAGATTCATTCGTCCCACTGGACCCCTTGCATTTACCTGGCAGGCATCCTTGCCCCCCTCTACATAGCCAGCACACACCATGTCCTGCTGGATAGAGTGGGGCTCATTAGGCTTGGCATTGATGTTGTACAAGCAGTTACATGTCTCCCGACTGATCAGTGGCACCTCAAGTTGCTGTAGTATCCTGGGGGCCTGGAGGCTCACTGTGGGGGCAAAAGATGGTTAGCCAGGGCCTCCGACCCTGAGTCAGGCTCCCTTCTGCCTCTAGACATCAGGGCCCACCTCACCTGAGGGGGCCACGTGGCCCCATCCAGTGACAGTGCATTGGAGGCCGTTGGGGAAGGAGGCGTTGGCTGCAGGGAGGCAGATGGGCCGGATGTAGCGGGAGAAGGTGATGGGGCTGCTGAGACGGAGCAGTGCGATGTCCCCCTGGGAGCCCTCATGGCGGTAGCTGGGGTGGGGAATGACCTTTTCCACGGTGCGAACCTCGGCCGCAGGGGTGTAGGAGTCCAGCTGGTGGGCCCCTAGCTTTACTTCGTAGTCATCCTTGTGGTGCTCCCTGCAAACAGGGAGGACAAAGGCTGGGACCCAGGAGTCCTGGCTCCTTGATCCCTGTGGCATCCAACCCCAGATTCTGATCCCAGCAAAGGACTTTTTGCATCCCAAACTGTGCCCTAGTTTTATCCTGTGACTTGTGACCTCTGACCTTCATTCCTGACTTATCTTTCAGATTTCATTGATAACCCTAGACCCAATCCAAGAACCCCAACCTCTTATCTAAACTGATCCCTGAACTTTGACCTCCAGACTACTTTTGGCATCCCCACCTTGCCCAACCCAGTTGGTACCTTGGAAAGCAGTGGGCAGCCGACAGTACCCACTGCTCAGACACGAGAGAACCGCCACACACGTGAGTGCCATCAAAGAGGATGCTGACCTGCCAGGGCCACTGGCCAGGGGTTGCACTGTTACCACCTGTGATGCGTGCTTGGGAGGCCACACCGCAAAAGGCTGCCCGGGGAGGGAGGAAGGGGAGGGGGTCAGGCCCTTCTGGGTCCCCCATACCTTGTTCTTAGCCCTGCCACTCCCAATGAAGCCCAGGAGATCTGGTTTGGAGCCTGGGAAGTGAGTTCACAGAAGCCGGCCACCCTTTTGTCCCCATCTCACTGCTTACCAGGCACAGTCAGTTTTGCCACCTTGACTCATTCCCTCATTCAGGTCTCTTACAGCTTCCTTCCTTCCTTCCTTCCTTCCAGGACTTTGCCTCCTATCCAATCCAGCCCTTATAAGTCTGAAGACCTTTATAAACGAGAAATCTGGCCAGGTGACACCCCCTTAAATCCTTCCCTGGTTTCACACTGCCCTTAAGATAAATCCCAGACCTCCCATGACAGTGCCATCCACCTGGACACTTCCTGTCATAGTCTTGGAAGCACTTATTCACCTATGGAACTTCGCTCTTCAAGGTCACTACCTAGAATTCCTTTCCTCAGCCCTACTTTGCTCGGCAAATTTCCATTTGCCTATGGCAGCCCCTCCTTGGCCTGCCCTGACCTGCTGCCTGAGTCAGGCCGTGCACAGAGCTCCCAGGGCTGCTTCCCTGATACTGCCTCGTCACCACTGCTCCCTGTGCTCCACCACACAACCCGGCACTCCCACGGCCCCAGTGCCCAAAGATGGAGCTGTGGATGCGGCTAGTGAACAAAGGAACAGAACAACTGGGCTCCCACAGCCTGAAGGCCACCCTACCCTCACTGAGGCTAGCAGTTTGGAACAAGACCCAGCTGCCCTTCACAAAGTCACCTTCCCAGGAGCAGAGAAAACTGCCCAGCCAGGCTCCTCCTCTCGTAATAATGACAATAGCTGCTATTTAGGAACTTTAAACTACGTGAGGCCCCGAAGGGGCTTTCACTTCCTTTATCTTCAGGACTGCTCACACAGCCCCAGGAGATAAACTCAATCAGCTTCATTTAGAGGTGAGCTGTGAGCCAAGCACACAGCAGTAAGTGGTGAGGGGGGCTCAGAGCTGGTGACCTGCCTTTGACGGAAGGAGACCTTTGGCTTGTTTCCACAAAACAACTCCGGCTCTTACAGGCTGTGCCACTCACTGGCTGTGCGCCTTCGGGCACATCACTTCTCTGCACTTCGGTTTCTTTATCTGTAGAACTCAGGCTACCATCCCCGTCTCACAGAGCTATTGTGGGACTTAAGACATTACGGTGCGTGAGACAGCCTGGCAGAGAGAGGTCAGGCACTCATTAAACACGCCATGGGAATCTGAGTCTGTGTCCCCTCTTCTTCCTTCCTCCCCAACCAACCCCTCACGCAGCCATACGATGAAACACAAACAAACATAAAAAGATGCTCAACCCACTAGAAATTAGGAAATGTTAACTAAAACAACAGAGTACCATAGCATAGTCACCAAATTGGAAATAATTAATAAGTTTGACAGTGCCCAGTGTCGGCAAAAATTCAGACCTCTGTGGGGAGTGTAACCTGACACAATTGTTCACATCGAATGGAGCTGAGGATGCTGCTACCCCCAATGCCACCCCTGGGAATGAACTCTAGGACAGAGCTCCCAACTGTGTTTAAGACCTTACTGCTGCAGCCCCAGAGGCGGCTGGGTAGGGCCTGGGGAGGTCAGAGCCCCTTCATTTACCAAAGTAAAAATATGATTTTCTGGGTGTCCCTTGATGTGGCAAAGGCTGGGAAGCACTGGCCTAGAGAAACGCACACATGCCAAGGAAGAGTGGTTCAGAATCGAGAATGTTCCTAACGGTGGACACTAGAAACAATCTAAATAATCATCAACAGAATAGGAATTGAAGGACAGAAGGGACTGACATGAAATATTCAAAGTTATGAAAAGCAAGGACCTACAATCAAGACTACTCTACCCAGCAAGGTATTATTTAAAACTAGAGGCCTGGTGCACAAAATCCATGCACGGGTGGGGTTTGG